GCGGTGGAGCTCAGGGCAGGATGGCGAGGGGTCAGACGGGGCTAGTGCGGTCTGCGCGGTCTCCTGTCGTGCCAGGATGAAGCATTTGCACGAGTGAACCGGGGCCGTCTCTCCCGCAGGCCCTGCTCAATTATTACTGTCAAGAAGGCTACTTCCACCATGTTCGGGCTGCGGCGGATGAAGCGCTGGGACGGCTGGGCAGTGATCCGGTATTCCTTTTCTACCGAGCCTATGGCGCCCTGAGGGCAGGTAATACGGGGCTGGGGAGCTAGGGAGCTGGTGGTTGTGTTGTGTTGTGTCTCGTCCCTCCGCCGCCCTCCCAAAACGCTGCTCTTCCTGGTGTCGCAAAATTCAGTCTTTTGTCTGATACACAGAAAGAAAGCGATGTTTTGGAGTCTGAATGTTTTCTACGTCAAGAAGATAACCAGTGTGTCATGATCTGTCACCCCAGTCTCACCCAGTTTAAATGAAACTAGTCTAGCTAAATTCATATTTCAAGGATGTTACAGGATACTAACAGGTAACCCAAAGTGGGGAGGGCTGTGACAGAAGGCTGGGAAGGATTCAGAAGATTTTGAGGTGGTGTATCTGTTCCTGGATTCCTTGAATTTTGTTTGGTTTTTTTACTATCATATGTTCCTGTTTTTCATGATACTGTCTCTTCTACTGATGTTGTGTGAAAAGATTCACACAAACAAGGCAAAAATCTTGGCTTTATAAAGAAACAGGAGCAAAAAGAGCTGCTCAGTGCCCTGGGTGAAACATAATAAAGATGATTTTCATCTTTGTGGCCGTTGGCAGAACTAGCACATAACTCCTTTCAAGTTCTCTGCATTGAAATGTGTTTTTCTTCCTTGTATCTCTTTGAAAGACTTGCACAAACAAGTGGAAATGGATGTCTGAATAATGAAGGAAGTCAAGAAGAAAATGTTATCAAAAGCAGGAAGCAAAAATAGAGGGGGGAAAATTAAGTCAGATTGAGGTTTGATGCTGATATTATGTCTTGAAAAATGTTATAGCCTATTCTACACTTGTTTTCACTAGGTGACATCCAAGAGGGTATTCGACAGTTGGAATCTATTAAAAACAAACAGGAAGTGTCACTTTGTTCAATGATGGCTCTGATTTATGCCCATAAAAAGAGCCTTAATCCAGGTATGCTCATTATGACAGTACTGCTTCATGTTTTAAACAGCCGTGTGTGAAGATCTGAGTTGTAGACTTGCTCTGCTCGACTTAAGAAGGTATGCTCCAACTTTGGATTTGACATAGTATCTAGTACTGAATTGAGTAACGCTTTTCAAGGCTGTAAACAAAACTACCAG